AGGTATAATTTTATAACAACTTTTAAAGCTATTTCTTTAGTGTCATTTTATTTTTTCCAGTTCTTTACTTTTGATCCCTCTTCCTGTGTTATATGTTTCACTCTCTTTTCTCTAAGTCTGCTTCAAGGTATGCTCCAATCTTCCAAGGCTCATGCTCTGAGACTGCTATCTTCTACTTGTATACATTTAAAATTAAAATATAATTCCTTGGCTTAGTTTTAAAGGGAAAACAAACAATGTAACAATTCAGTAATCTTATATTATTACATACATTATAGACCCTATATTATGATTAACTTAAATGTCAATTTCAAACTGCAAGTCTTTCTAGTGAACTATGTTAAGGGTACAATTATGTAACCTTAACTTAAAAATGAATGCCTAATATAAAAGCAGCTTAGAATATTGACTTTTGCTTTCTACAGCTAAGGATTTAAAAGGCTGGCTTGCCCGGTATGGCTCAGTGGTTGACATCAACCTATCAACCAGGAGGTCATCCATGGTTCAATTCCCGGGTCAGGGCACATGCCCATGTTGGAGGCTTAATCCCCAGTGCAGGGCATCCAGGAAGCAGCTTATCAATGTTTCCATCTCTCTCCCTCTCTTCCTCAGTGAAATCAATAAAAATATATTAAAAAATAAAAATATAAAATAAATAAAGTCAATTTCTGGACTATACATAGACGAATAAAGTGTTTCCTTGTATACTATCAGCAATCTAGACACAGTTATGAGTTGGCATTTGAAAAGAAACTTCTCTAAGTACTTTCAAGATATACTTTTGTGTAAACTTATGAAGACAATTAGTATGAAATCCTCAATAGATTTTCATGATATTTACAAGGCAATCATTAAGCATTACCCTTAGAAACCATGGCTCATAGCCTATTTTTTGCCACTTACCAAGTTTATATGGCATTGGGTCATTTTGATTCTTTCTGAGTCTCCCTGTTATCATCTACCAAATGGAAACTTTTATATCCACTTCTCAAGAGAAGTGTGACAGAGGAATAAACAAAGGTGAATGCAATAATGCTCATGAAAGAGCCCAAAATAGTGTATTCCCAAAATGTTTGTTCAATTTGTTGGATAATCAAACAGGCTTTTAGGAAAACAAAATCCACCTTGAATTAAAAGCATCATCTTTTTCTTCCTGAGTGATTCCTGTGAATTTTGTTTGAGGGGCACACTTAAAAAATAAAAAGAATATAATATAAGACAAAGAGAATACAAACAAAGCCAGATGGTTAAGAATTTTCAAAATAACTCTATTTAGAATTGGTCTAATTTGGGCACTGAAAACATGAGGACTCATGACTATATAAATAAACGGTGATTTTAACTTCCAGGAAAAAGTATTACCATAGATTTTTCATAAATCAACTCATTTCACATGTCTCGAATGAAACATTTTTAAATGATCTCCTTTCAGGGAGTCAATTAAATAAGTAATTTCACAAATGAATCTATGGAAAGGCTAAGTTAAAGACATGAGTTGTCTTAAAAGAAATGTTTCCATCTCCAGGTAAGAAGCAACTCTAATAGGTTAAGATCCTTTTACCATTGGATGCAGATCCTCTCCTCCTATTGGAACTATGGATCTCTTTATGCTCAACGATCCTTCTCAAACTTTTCTAAATAGCCTGCCTCACCTCTGCAAGTAGTTCAAGATAGGCAGCTAAAAATCAGGTGGACAAAAAAAGAATTAAAAAGTTCCATGATCAGAAGGGAATGGCTTTCTTAAAGGTTATGCTTTTTCCTAATTTGACCATCTCTCATCAAAATACTATTGTGTCAAATTCCAGCTTGACAATTTTTAGGTGTATAATCTTGAACACATGTTTTTGTTTCTCTGTGCCATAGGTATTTCTTTGTAAAGTGGGAGTATATTAAATCAGAAAATTGCATGCACACATGCACACATACACACACCACCACCACCACTACCAACAACAACAACCATCTTCCCCATCCACTCAATCAGGGAGAAGTCAGTCCCATACTACTACACAATGCTTCCAACTCAGTTATTGAATGTATGGACAGTTTTCAAAGGCTGAAGGAAAATTGAGTATTATATTTCACAATAGATATTATTCTTAGAACTCAGTATCACTCAGACCTTATAACTGAGGGTCCAGCCTGTGCTTCCAGAAGACAATACTAAGGAGCTCAGAGGTGAAATATCATAAGAGGATGGAGGAACTGAAGAAAATAATCATAATCCAATGGCTTCTAGAAGTATAGCACTCACTCAATATTTTCTTCATATCAAAGTTTAAGCATAGTTCTAGAAAACAGTAGGGGGAGAATCAGAGAAGCATTTTTAAGTTTGCTCCTCTGTAGCATGTCTAAGAAATCAAAGTACACCTTCTGTTTCTTTGCCAGAATGTTGTGTACAGGTGTTTTCTGGTAGGAAGAAATGTGCACACACACCATCAGGTAAATTTGCTCTGTGGAGGCTGAAGGATGTGATCATTGCTCTGGCCCCAGGACTCTGTCATCCCTGCATTGAGAAAATTAGCCTTGGCTATTGCATTTCCATCTTAAAAAACCAGGCTTAAAACTGCTTAATTTTAAGCAATATGAGACCAATCATGCAACAAACATCTCTGAACTACATTTTAATGTAACTGATACATCAAATTCATTGTTTAAGCTTTTAAATTTTCATTAAAAACATTAGCTAAAAGAGTTCATGCAAACAAATAGAAAAACAATACTTTCTTTTATAATTTTTCAGATATGCAAAATATAAAAATGAACATTTTTCACAAGAACAGTGTTCTTCCGCTTAAGAGTTGGGGGGAAAAATTCCATACTAATTTAGCCCAGTAGCTAAAAATTTTGTTTTATATGAACATCACATTTTTCCATTTTTCTCTCCTGATTTTACCCACAGCACGATAGAGAATACATTCTGATAAAAATGTACAAAATATTGGCTGGGCCTGCACCAAAGGAAAAGGCAAACTAAAATAAAAACTATAAATCACTAGAGAGTAATTTTAAGCATAAAAAGCAGATTTTTTTTTAAATGCATGAAATCCCTTCCCCCAACCCTTGCAACAGAGCTCACATATTTTTATACTTTTTATTTATGAAAAGCAGAAAAAATACTAACAGAACTTAAATCCAGATAGGGAAACGCAGAGGGACTATTTAACATACTTTTAACTTTCTATTTTCACAGCCACTCAAATGAGCAAAAGACTGTGACAAATAGAATCAAAGATACGGGAGGGGAGTGGACTGATAATTCTCGGGGAAAAGGGGAGTGTTGGATGCGGGAAGAGACTAAACATAAACTGAGCACCTATGGATGAGGACAATGGGGGGTGGGGAAAGGGCAGAGGGTGGGTGGGAACCTGGTGGAGGGGGGAAGAAATGAGGAACCTTTGTAATAATATGAACAATACAGATTGATTTTTTAAAAAAATTAAAATCTCACAGGCATTAAAAAAAATAATAAGTAATAAAAAATTTGGCTCTCAAAAGGGAAAAAAAAGTGACTGTGAAATAATGGTTGAAAAAGAGTGATAATATTACAAAACAGATTTCTGATTACAGAGGATCATAAATAAATTACATTGAAGTGATTTCCATTTTGGCCTCAGAGAATGAAAGCCTCCAAAGTGAACGTCTAGAATCAATTTACCTGATTCGCACATTACCTTAACTGAATTTCAAGAATGATCTAATGCCCATATTTGAATTAACAGGCAGAAAATTAAAATTGGATTGGTACCTGATACTTCACTGCACAAAGAAAAACACCCCAATCTGTTTGCCTTACTACGTGGGTAAAACAATGTGAAGGTGTTAAACTCAAGGGACTATAATCCAGTTATAATAGCTGCTTATGCATCAGTCTGGGGATAATTAACCCACAGAAGGTAATTCTGGGCTACTTGAAACACACCAAGTCAAAGAACACCTGAAGAGAAGATAAACATAGCGGAGGAAAGGCGTCATCATGAATGCATAGACTATAGCACAGATCAAGAGCGGTCACACAGCTGAGATGACCAACATCAGGCCAGGAGTTCGCTCCCTCACATCACAAGTAGCAGAAACTCTGCCTCCAAAACAAAGACAGACTGTTTCCATAACACGCTATCTTCTTAAGGAAATCGGGCTTTATACAGTATCATGAAAATCAGGGGATACCTTCCAAAGAGTCCTTCATTATAAAAGGCATCGATATATTAAAAGGCATCAGTCGACAATTACTTTAGAAAGTACTCTTCAGAAAGCAAGTCATTTAACAGTGTTTAACATTAAAATATTATAAAAGGAGCTGATTCCATACTAGGGTCAACTTTCCTCTAAATAACTACAACAGAAACAATTATTTCCACACTCAAACAAGTAAACAGTGACTCAAAAGCTTCTCAACCAAGTATTTATTGGGAAGCAGTTGAATTCCAACATGTATTGTAAGTACATATAGTCAGATTCTTCATCAAGAATATCAAGGTGACCAATCTCTGTCCTGATAGGCAGGATTTTTTCAATTGCTCTCTAAAGAGTCAAACAAACCTCTTCTCCTACTATCAAATATTGCTGATTAGTAAGAGGTCTACCAAGCACATGACTGTGACCTTCCCATTGTCACAATCCTGAATGCAGGTATGCCTATTCTGAAAGTTCTTGCACAACTTTCAACTTCAGCATAAAGATTTTACAATCAGAACATTTTCTATACCGAATATATATAATCATAAAGGCTTCTTCAAAGTTAGCCTACTATATTTTCACAAAATAACAGCATTTGCGTTAGAAATGAGATAATTAAATTCCATTGCAACAACTTTAAGGGACAATGACAGCAGCACAACAAAAAAGAAACTTGGGGAAACCTTTGCCTTCTCATTTTTAAGACTTTCATATGCTCCCACTTGGTGGGACAGAACTCAGACTCACACATTTTATTTGCCTTCCAAAAATAGCCAGCACTGTGAAGAGAGGGCAAGAGATAATGAAGACCAGATGCCTACCTTCACTGGTAGCCACATTCTTCTGGGCTTGGGTGGGTGTGTGATCTGTACTTGAACTCACGTCGGATGAGATGCTTGAGCTGCCTTTGCCTAGAGAAAACAGAAATGAGCAGCTTTTGAGTTTTGTAATTTCAGAACTTAGACCATGCCTTTCACTGTCCCATACCAGCCACATCGCTTGTTTCCAAGAAAGGACCAATAATACCAAGAAAGGAGTTTATTGGATTTCTTGCCTTATGCATTAAATATCTTTTGGGAAATGCCTGACCCATGTCAGAGTAAAACTAATGTCTTATTATAATCTTGCTTGACTATAAACTCAGACAAGATTATAAAACATAGTCAAATACAATAACATAATATAATTTTGGCGTACATGTGACTAAGAAAGTACATGTGCGAAACACATCCACAGTATTGATTTTTTTATTTGCAGCTATAAACTACATTTTCCAATAAAGGACAAATGCAAATCTAAGAATGAGGCATTATCTGAGGAGCAAGAGCCTACTTGCTCCAAAGAAGCTCTATCACCTTTAAAAAATTCCCTGCTTTAGTTAAGTTCTTCTTGAAGAAGAAGAAGAAGAAGAAGAAGAAGAAGAAGAAGAAGAAGAAGAAGAAGAAGAAGAAGAAGAAGGGATTCTGTCATTTTTTTTTAATGCAGTAAATCTTAACCAGGGCTGCTCCTCCATGCAATGGGACATTTGGCAATGTCTGCTATCGTTTTTAGTTATCACAAACGGGGAGGGTACGCTCCTAGCACTAGTGGGTAAGGAGCTAGAGACATCTTACAATGCACAGGACAGTCCCCACACGACAAAGAATTATCCAGCCCAAAACATCAGTAATGCTGAAGTTGAGAACCCCTGATCTAAATAATCTTACCTCAGCTGATAGCTCAGTTTGTACTCTTCTGACTTTTAATATGAAAATATGTAATATTATTGCTAAATATTCTCTAAAATCACATGAAAGTTCAGAAATATGAACCATACTCTCTGCCTAGTGATGGAAGTGCTATGACCATGGTGAGTGGAAATTCAAGATAATGCCCATTGTACCTGCTATAGACTAAATGTTTGTGTCTCTCCAAATTTCATATTTTAAAACCTAATCACCAACGTGTGTTACGTATTAGGAGGTGATTAGCCTTTGGGAGGTGATTGGGTCATGGGTATGGCACCCTCATGAAATGAATTTGTAGAAGAGACCCCCCCCACCCAAAAGCTCCCTGCCTATGTGAGAAAACAGAAAAGATGGCAGTCTATGAACTAGGAAGTGGGCTCTCACCAGTCACCTTGATCTCAAACTTTTCAGCCTCCAGAAATGTGGAAATCTCATTTCTGTTGTTATAAACCACTATAGATAGTATCTGTGGTATTTTCTTATAAGGACCAGAATGGCTAGTCAGTGCCTCTGCCCATGGTAATCTGCTCCCCTTGAGCATGGGCAGGACCTGCAGCTTGCCACTAAGCCATAGAATATGATGATGGTAAGAGAATCAGAATTGAAACAAATTCCATTGCCGATTAGAACTTGCAGATGCCACTAAATTCCCTAATGAGTTGAATTTAGTCAAAAGGGAAATTATTCTGGGTAGACCTGACCTAAACAGATAAACCCTTTACAGGAGTCTAAAGGAGGGACATCTCACTGGTCTTTTTTTTTTTTTAATATATTTTATTGATTTTTTACAGATAGGAAGAGCGAGGGATAGAGAGTTAGAAATATCAATGAGAGAGAATCATCAATCAGCTGCCTCTTGCACACCCCTATTGGGGATGTGCCCGCAACTAAGGTACATGCCCTTGACCGGAATCGAACCGGGACCTTTCAGTCTGCAGGCAAATGCTCTACCACTGAGCCAAACCGGTTTCGGTCCCACTGGTCTTAAAGAAGCAAGTCAGCATGAGTCCTAAAGCTGCAAAGTATTGAATTCTGCCAATACCCATGTGTGCACGGAAGAGGACTTGAGCCCCAGATGAAAGCCCAGCCCTGGCCATGAGCATCTTGACTGCACCTTTATAAGACCTTGAACAAAAGTCCAGCCCCGATTTCTGACCTAGGGAAAATAAGATAATGAATGTATCTCATGTTAAGCTGCCGCTAAATTGGTGGTGATTTGTCATGTGGCAATGGAAAATGAATATAATGGCCAACCAGTTATATCACAATGAACTCTTCAATGCACAATTATGATTAAAACTTACAAGCAGCTGAGAAACACTGGTTTCCAACAATATTGCCTACACAGTGGTATACACCCCAGTTAGGTGGCATGACATTACAGGCTAAAAACAGAGTTGAAAAGCACAAGTGGGCAATTTAAAGAGCTTCAAGGTCTTGTTTGCTAATGCTGAGAATAATGAAACAATCCAAGTTCATGGGTGATATCACCTGGGAAGCTCATTGTGATGGATGACTCTGTTATAACAAGTCTGTTATTCCCATCATCCCTGCCCATTCTACATCCTCCTCCCTCCGAGTGAGCCACAGGGCAGTAACTCTCCATTAGTTTATGTCTAGCCTGCCTTTGTGGTCGCCAATCATTTGCCATGGTTGATCTTTGGAAGGGGTTGACATGTTGGACTCAATACCGAGTTAGAAATATGTCAAACTGGCCTCTGACCTCAGTCTGCTGCCCTCTTGCTTTTTGACTTGGACCGACTGCAGTGGGTAGTGGAGGATCTAGAGCAAGCATGTCAAGCTCAAAGACTAACACAGGCCAAATAAACAAGGTTTCAGTTTATGTGGGCTGCAAAAAAAACACACAAACAAACAAAAAAACAAACAAAAAAAACACACACCAAAAGCTTTAATTTTCATAGAAATACATAGGGCTGAAATAAATGAGTAATCATTAATGAGTATTGGTTGTGGGTTGCATGCGGCCCATGGGACAAAGTTTGACATGCTTGATGGAGTGATGAGGCTGGGTTTACATCTAAATCTGCCACTTAGTAGTGTTGGGAAAATTATTAAACCCTTCTAGGCTTTATTTTTCTGAGCTATAACCAGGGTAGGGAAAATCAATTCTTGCCTCACAGGACTGTTTTGAGCATTAAATAAAATAATCCAGATATAGCACCTAGGATAGTGCACTTAGGGAATACTCAATAAATCTTAGTATAATGGGGCTCATATTTCAGATATTATTAACATGCTCTGTTCTTTAGCCTTGTTTCTGGAAACATAACCAACACTCCAGGGAGTTCAATGGACAAGAAAAAGGTGCGAATATTGTGTGTGTGTGTGGGGGAGAGTTTCTTACAGATTAAATGTTACAGGAGGAGCTCAGAGGAAAAGAAAAGGGTGATATTAGGCTTCCAAAAGCCAAAATCAGAAATCTACAGTATGAAAATGTTCTTGTAAGACCAGCTATTACATTAGGAAGGGACTGCCTACATTTCTCAACTTCAAATATTATTTGATTAAATAATTGGCCACGTTGACAGATGAGAATGTCCATTACACTATCAGACTCACATGACTTTAAGTTCCACATTTACTACTTTTAAACAAAGTGGTCAGGAGAAAACTTGTCAAACTCTCTAAGCTTCATTGTTTTTATCTATAAAACAGGAATAAAAACAAACAACAAACAATTATCTACTTCCTCTACTAAAACCCACCTTGTAGGTTTGTTGGAAGTTATTATGGGTAAGAAATAATTGATGGCTAGTAAAGAATTCAATTATGTGCAATGCCAGTGACAGCCCCCTCCCCCTTGCAATTGTTTAATATTGACCCATTTGTCATAGTTCGATTTGTACCAGGAGACAGAAATGAAATTTAAAACACTAATTGCTGCTTTACTATTGTAGGCACACAGTATTCTATGTGCATATAAATTACATTATACAAACCTTATATATCCAGCAGAAATTCATCAGATATAAGCAAGGTGGGCAGTTATGCTCTCTGTCTAACTGCTTTACCTCCAGGAAAGTTTATTTATTGGCCATTCAGGGTCATTAGCTTATCAGAAATGTGCCTGTTGAATTTGGTAAAGCAACATTTTGTACTTTATTAATTTCCTCCCTATTAGAGACTAAAAGGCCCAAATGAGGGCAATTGAAAATTTAGGTATCAGATACAAATAAATATCAAAGAAAGAGAAAAATAACTAACACACTTGAAGATGGCAAATGTTATCTGTAACAAGTTAACCCAGGCATATGATTCTGAATCACAGTATGAGAAATTAGTGGTGGATCAATCATTTTGGTCACTTGAGACACATGACTAACCCAGGAATGCTGGCAGAATAATGTGTTAGTCTTCTATTCCAATCCCGCATCCTTTTGGGTTTCCGTTAGAGTGGGCCATGTTTTCCCAATGTTTTCCCAATGTTTGAAGAGAAAGAGAATGTTCATTAAATGGGGATCCTATTAGAGAGGGATTTTAAGTCTCTTTTAATTAAAAAAATTCCCATATGTGAAATAAGTCTCTTCTCTTCTCTCATTTTCAGTGCCCAGACTGATTCTGCAAATGAAGATACTTTACATAAGACAGGCAGATTTACTGACAACACAAAGAATATAAAGAGTGGAATAGAAAATATCAGTCAATACCTGACCAAAAAAAATGAATCAATGGGTCTTATGATTTCTAACATTCTTAAGAGTCCAAGAAACCACTTGAAAATTGATTCCTTATATCAATTCCAGATTATTTGCACTGAACTCATTCCTGTGGACTTCAGCTTCAGACTTCTCATATGAAACCCACAAACAGGCATGTTATCCCATGTGGAGGGCTTGGGCACTTATTTCCTCTTTCTCTCCAATATCCTGTTTGCAAGCTGCTGTTGGAGCACCATGAGTGCCTGATTTAATATTAAGTGTCCACACCAATGGAAAGAGAATCGTTTTCAATATCTCAGAATTAGATCAAGAGAATGGCAGGTCATATCTTTTGTTGAATCCACTGTTGTTTTCCTGATTGTTATCTTATGAGTTACTTTCTTACCTTCTCTGATTGCAAGTTCAAATGTCTATACATGCAGAAGAGGAATATTCGTTATCACAAAGGATGATCTGACTTAATCTTTGACCCAGAGGTGTATTAGTTTTTAGGAAAAATACTCA